GAACCCTGAACCCTGAACCCTGAACCCTGAACCCTGACCCCTGAACCCTGAACCCTGAACCCTGAACCCTGAACCCTGAACCCTGAACCCTGAACCCTGAACCCTGAACCCTGAACCCTGAACCCTGAACCCTGAACCCTGAACCCTGAACCCGAGCGACGACGTGCAGGGCGCATGAAACCCAGAGCCTCCAAACCTTCAGCCCATCCGGACGTGAACACCTCGAAGGTTCAGGGTTTTCCCCAAGTTTAGGGTTACACAGGGTTTAGGGTTTGGGGTTGAGGGTTCAGGGTTTTAGGGTTTAGGGTTTAAGGTTTAGGGTTTAGGGTTTAGGGTTGTAAACCCTAAACCCTAAACCCTAAACCCTAAACCCTAAACCCTAAACCCTAAACCCTAAACCTTACAGGATCTGCCCGCGGTGCTTCCACACCTGCAACAAGTGCGACTCAGTGCCTGGGGCTGCGGTTTGGAGGTTTAGGGTTTAGGGTTTAGGGTTTAGGGCTTAGCGTTTAGGGTCTAGGGATTTTGCGTTTCAAGCTTAGGGTCCTGGGACCTTATTTTTTGTTTGAGAGGGAGGGAGAAGGTAGGTCAACATGGAATGAAACCACAGGGGCCCCAAGCCCTGAACGTTCAGAGTTTATACAGGGCTGATGTGGTACATCCTGCAATAGAGACCCCGAAAAGGCCTACCCTTCAGAACACCCTCTGGCGCCCCCCCCTGGCCTGTGGGAGCTTGGGGGGTTCAGCGACATGTGGCTTTGGTTTCTGGCGCTCAGGATTCTCCAGGATCCTTTTGTGTTTGGGCCCCTTCTGATTGCCTTCTCTGAGCAATAATCTCGGATTGAAGCACTGTCTGATAGGGGTTGAGGGCCCTGTAGGGTTTACGCTGGCAGTCTTGTCGGCTCTCGGGCTCGTAGCTTCTTAGTCGTTGAAGGTTTTGAGCAAGTTCATGGTTTTGGGTAGGGCTTAGGGTTTAGGGTTTAGGGTTTAGGGTTTAGGGTTTAGGGTTTAGGGTTTATAGGCCCCTTAAAACTCCAGACCTCCGACTCTGAGGCTGACATCTGCAAGGAGTGCAAGAACTTCACGCGCCTGGCCTGCAATGTTTGGCATCGGTCGATGAACCTTCAACTCCTGAGCTTTCCTAAGCTCCGAACACGTACAAACCTTCGACACCCTAAACCCTGAACCCTAAACCCTAAACCCTAAACCCTAAACCCTAAACCCTAAACCCTGAACCCTAAACCCTAAACCCTAAACCCTGAAGGTGTCGAGCTAAGTTATGTTTGCTTGGGGGGCGTAGGGCTGGGTTGGTGCCGCCTTCGTGCTTAAGGCTTCAGGCGGGGCTGCGCATGCAGCAGCCCGACGGAGGAACGCGCAGCGGTTGAAAGAGGAAACCCTGAACAAACCCCGAGCTTCCCACTTCTTTTCCACTTCTTTGCAGAGAGAGAGAGAGAGAGAGAGCTGCTTTCTGCACCCGCCCAGGAGATCCTTTCAATACTGAATTAGGTGGAGAGTGGAGGTTTAGACTTCACCTACGACAATACCGATGTCCACGTATGCCCAGCACACTCAAGCGAGACCATTTTTAGTATAGGCCTTAGAGGCCCTCAACCCTAAGCCGTCATCCCTGCAAGATCGTTGCTTGAAGGCTTTCGGAGTGCAGACCTTGAGGTTGCAGGGTTGAAAGCCTATAGGGACCGGGATTGAGAGGCCTTCTTGGCGCTTAAGGTGTTAGGGTTTAGGGTGTGTGTATATGGTATGCTTGGTTTTGGGGTGAGATCCTCGGGTCCGGGTCTATAGTTAGTAAGTAGGCTCATGAAGGGACGGGGATGACAATCTACTGTGGCCTTCTCGCAAGGTACCTGACCCCGGACTCCAAATGCAGCTCGGGCATGCACAGCTTAAGCACGTTGCAGCTGAAAAATCCATTTGGGGGGTTTCCGAAATTAGGGGGAACCTCTTTTCTACCCAAAATAGAATAGAACCCCCCTTAAAGGACCCCCAAAAGGGTGCCCCTATTTTCGGAAACCTCCATTTCAGGTTTACAGGTTTTAGGTTTCCTGCATCCATCCCCTGTAGACCCCAAACCCTACAAAAATCGTAGGGTTTAGGGTTTCGGGTTTCGGGTTTAGGGTTTAGGGTGTAGGGTAGAGGGTTTAGGGCTTAGGGCTTGGGGTTTAGGGTTTAGGGTTTAGGGGACAGGTAACGGGCTTCAGAGATTGGGTGTCGCGTCTTTGTCAGAAGGCTTCAGTTTCTGGCTGCTTGAAAACCCCGCATGTTCCCGCGGCTGCGGGAATCCAATTTCGAGAATGCCAGCGCTTGGGGCGTCAGACTTAGACCACCTAGAAGAGGCCGGGAAACAAAATACATCCTGAACATTGATGATACTTAATGATAATTATAACTATACTTAGTTGGGATAGAAGCACTTGGGTTATTAAGTGGGAACACACAACACATCCTTGGAGGCGTCCAGGTTTTTTTTTTTAGTGCTTTTTTTCTGTTTGTTTTGTGTTTTTCATGGGTTAGGGTAGGGTTTAGGGTTTAGGGTTTAGGGTTTAGGGTTTAGGGTTTAGGGTTTAGGTTTAGGGTTTCGGGTTTAGGGTTTATAGGGTTTAGGGTTTCGGGTTTAGGGTTTAGGGTGTAGGGTTTAGGGCTTAGGGCTTAGGGCTTGGGGTTTAGGGTTTAGGGTTTAGGGTTTAGGGCTTAGGGCTTAGGGTTTAGGGTTTAGGGCTTAGGGCTTAGGGTTTAGGGTTTAGGGTTTAAGTTCTCACCTAAAACCGTACAAAGCACGAAAAACAACCAATAAAAACACGAAAAAAGAACCATCAGCCGATAGAGGTTCATGGTACTTATTGCCCAACAACTGCACTCATAGCCCACTCATAAGCCCCTTAAGTGCCCTAATGTGGTTATAACCCCCTAAACCCTGAAGCCTAAACCCTAAACCCTCAAGCCTGAAGCCTAAACCCTAAACCCTAAACCTGATATATGGGTAGGGTTGAGGGTTTAGGGGTTAGCGGGCAACTCACTTGACAGCCGGCTGTAGGGAGCAATAAGCCCGAAACACATGCCCGAGTTAGGGTTTAGGGTTTATTTAGGTTTTAGGGTTATGGGGTTGAGGGTTTGGTGTTTGGGGTTTAGGGTTTAGGGTAGCGGGCCACAGCTGCCCGTGCACATTTGTCAATTCTTTGTTATCTCAGTCTACACGAGGAATCCGGTGATGTCGAGTCTCACCCTATAGACCTTCGACCCGGATGTGGCTTACCAAGGTTTTGGGAAATAACCCTAAACCCTAAACCCTAAACCCTAAACCCTAAACCCTATAAACCCTAAACCGGATGGGGCTTACCAAGGTTTTGGGAACTTAGGGGGTGGAGCTCCAGGGTCTGTGAGGCATATCTCCTAGGGTTTAGGGTTTAGGGTTTAGGGTTTGGGGTTTGGGGTTTAGGGTTTAGGGTTTAGGGTTTAGGCCTTTCAGCCGATGAGAGGCTTGAGTATTTAGTCGACAGTTGCGAAGAAGGCGTAGGATTTTCAGGGTCGGAGTGAGACCCTGCCTACCCTAAACCCTAAACCCTTTAAACCCTAAACCCTAAAACCTAAACCCTAAACCCTAAACCCTAAACCCAAGGCAACTACGAGTGCCCACCCGGCTACTACGAGCACGGCACGGAAGAGGTCGGGGGCACTTGCAAGCCGGGGGCCCAGACGCGACAGAGAGGCGGCCGACACCATGCTCCAGCTTTCAGTCTGAGAGGCCTAAACGCTAAACCCTAACTTCTAAACCCTAAACCCCAAACCCTAACCTCTAAACCCTTACCTCCAAACCCTAAACCCTGAACCCCAAACCCTAAACCCTCGTAATACCACAAACCTGAAATCAAGGCAAGGGCAGGTGAAGGACGCTATCTTAAGATTGGCTCTCGCTGTTCGTTTGCTTAATCTCTCATTAATATGCCATTTTGCACTAGACCAACAGTCGTGTAAACACTTCAGGCACTTGTCCCCAAATGCGGAAAATCCCACAAGGGGCCCTTAAGCCCCTTGAAGTCCGAATCCATGTTGAAAAGCGACAAGCAGCGCCATGTGGATTGAAAGAAGTCTGACGGCTGCGTAACCCTAAACCCTAAACCCTAAACCCCAAGCCCTAAACCCATGTTTTCATGTTTGTTCTTCTCAGGCTTTGCTCCGACAACTGTGTCGAGTGCACTGGCGCCTTGGTGCTCAGCCCTCAGTTGCTGAATCGCAGCTTTCCTGTTGTGAAGAAGCGTTTAGGGTTTGGGGTTTAGGCTTTAGGGTTTCTATAGCTGTTCAGGCCGTAGAGCCTTCCACGGTCATTCGCCGCAGTTTTGCTGTGCGCGTTCGTGCACCGCTCACATGCATCAGACGTGAGGATTGCCTCACTGCCACCTGTGCCGTTAGGTGTGAAGTCTGCAAGAACAACTACTTCCTCGACCCTACAAGCAGCACATGCAAGACTGCATGCCGGGCCCTTGCCAGTACTGTCTTTTGGAGTTTGCTTTCTGCCATTTGTGTTTTTCTTTCCCTCCGATCAGAATTTGAAGTTCCGGCAAAGCGCCCAAGGCCCCGCTGGCTGGTATCAGAACATCCCAGACGAGTCCGTTGAGACGGGTCGCCCCTCGGTAGAGCAGTTTTGACACTTACAGCAGTCGTCAATCTAGAAAGGCCAGGTCAACAGGTCAACGTGTGTTTGCTTCATTCCGATGGATGGGTCGTTGTGGCCAGTGTTCGGGCTAGAGGTTTTGTTCATGCACACCGTAGGCATGTGCGCATGACAAGCTGTCGGCCTTCCCGGCATTCACCCGAGTGCGGCTAACCGTGTCCATCAAATAGGACCGAGTATTCACATAGGTACTCGTATGTGGGTATAAGCCTTAAGCAACCCCAAACGGCACAGCACAATTATGTAACCCCAAACCCCACGGGAGATCCCACGGGCCTGGAGTCGCAGCCCTGGAAGACCCAGGAACGTGCGAGCAATGCCCTGCTCCCTGCAACAAGTGCAACACGGCCTCCGAGTGAACCTTGGGCTGCATGATGCTGGTGCAGGGTGAAGGGTTTAGGGTTCAAGATCCCCAGGGCAGGTACCCGCAACAATGTACCCCCGATCCTTTTGGAGCTGAACAGATTGTTGCTTTGTATTTCTCGTGGTTGTGGAACATGATGGACATGTTGCATACGAAGGCAGCAGCTTAGGTTTGACAGTTTACGGCTCACTGCCCACTCTTTGGCATTTGGTTCGGGTTCAGGGTTACGCCTCGGCTGAATGAAGCGAACTTCGTGTGAACACTTCCTTGCAAGCAGATGCCGACCGGGCGGTTTTCAGGCTGTTGCTTTATAGCTTTGCAATAACCCTAAACCCTAAACCCTAAACCCTAAACCCTTGCAACCTGGTGGGCTCGAGCTGCAGGCGTCTGGGGTCGAGGGCACAGTCGAGACCAGTCCTACGTAGCAGGGTTCCGCGGTATGAAACTGAAGGTTGGCATGCATGAGCCTGCAAGCAATCCACTCAACAAGTTGAAGTCCTGCCTACAATAGTTCAATTGGGGTCGGAATAATTACGAATGGCTTACCCTTATGGTCCCTTTATAAATATGCTATAGCAACTCCCAAAACCCTATTCTAACTCTTAAGCCCCCTATACTACCTTCCCTCACCTCCCCGAAGAGCTGTCTCAAACCCGCGAGCATCTAGCTCTGACTTTTTTGTCAATAGAGTTTAGGGTTTATGGTTTAGGGTTTAGCGTTTCGGGGTATGAACTTTCATTGAACCCAGACCCACCCAAGCTTAAGAGTGACTCGAACCCATGCAGCGGGACATCAATTGAGGCACCGAATGCAAGGACTCGGCCTTTCTGACGCCCTTCGGCACATGCGACCGGCCCTCAGATTCCTAAGGAGGATTAGGGTTTAGGGTTTAGGGTTTAGGGTTTAGGGTTTAGGGTTTAGGGTTTAGGGTTTAGGGTTTAGGGTTTAGGGAGGTTTGGTGGGCTTGCCTTCTTCACGAAAGCAAAGCTTCACATCTATCCTAGGACCCGGAGTAGGCCCTTATTTCCTCTTTTTAGGGTGGGGGGTTCCCTTGTAATTCCCTTAAAACCCAAACAGGTACCTTGTTTGTTCCTAGGTTACTCCGGGGTCTAGTATCGCGAATTCGCGCACTGCCCAGGAATACACGTGCCCACCTGGCCTCTACCCTTTCGGCATCGGGGAGATCAACATCACCTGCTCCTGGGTCTTGCAGTGATCCTTTGTGAGTTTAGGGTTTAGGGTTCAGGGTTTAGGGTTTAGGGTTCTTTTGCGCGACTACCTGGGTCATTGTTGAAAACCATTTTACATTTCGATGAATACTTAAACCCAATAAGGAACAATATTGATGTTGTTTCAAAGTCCCCCAACAAAGGCGCAGATACAGCAATCTACGTGAAGCATAGTGAAACCACATGAGGAGAAGTATCCAAAGGTCTCACAAGGAGCAGCATGACTTCAGGTTCAGGTTCGCCTCAAGTGGATCTGGAGTGACATGTTTGGGATACCTTGAAAACCCTATAAATTTTAAGGTCTAGGGTTTAGAGTTTAGGGCTTAGCGGTGAATGTATATAAGGTTCCTTGTTAAAATTGGTGAGTGTATATATAGAAAAAATTGCCGGGCCCTTACACACTTGCCCCTAAACCCTCAACCCTAAACCCTAAACCCTAAACTCTAAACCGTAAAATCCTCATGTCGACAACCTCAAGGCCAACCGTGCTCTCCCAACTGCGACACATGCGACACCTACGAGGTTTGCCCTGGCCTCGGGACAGGGTTTAGGGTTTAGGGTTTAGGGTTTAGGGCTTAGGGCTTAGGGTTTAGGGTTTAGGGTTTGGGGTTTAGGGTTTAGGGTTTAGGGTTTAGCGATTAGGCTTTAGGGTTTAGGGTTTAGGGTTCAGGGTTTAGGGTTTAGGGTTTAGGGTGCAGTGCGGAGGCATCGCTGCAGAAGGTCTTGCTTGCAGGTGATTAAGGCTTGAGGAGGTACGAATGATCGACTCATGGGTTTGATTGTGCCTAAGCTGCCAGGTTTTGAGCCCTAACAGCGTCTGGTTGCAGTAAACCCTAAACCCTAAATCCTAAACCCTAAACCCTAAACCCTAAACCCTAAACCCTAAACCCCAAACCCTAAACCCTAAACCCTAAACCCAACTGTAACCTTTTTCTCCCAACGCAGCCTTCTTGGGCCCAGGCACGGCTTGCAAGAATGACAAGTTCCTCAATCCAGACGGCGCGTGCAAAGGACTCAGGATGACGAGGTTTTGAAGGGTTTAGGGTTCATAGGGTTTAGGGTTTAGGGTTTAGGGTTTAGGGTTTACTGCAACCAGCTGGCGGGTCATGGGGCGAGGCTTGCATGCACGGGTTTGGGGCTTTGGGTTTAGGGTTTAGGGTTTAGGGTTTAGTATTGGTGGGGATTCTCTTTTTTTCTGGCCGATGTGGAGGGTTCTAGCAATGCACCATGAGCATATGGTCAGCTCTCTAAGTTATGGTCCCTTTTTGCGTACCTTTCAAGGGATGATGATGGGGCCCCCCTATTAGAATTCCTCTTGAGGACTGTTAGTATAACGGGGAACATCCCAACCCTAAACCTCAAGAGCCAGAGAGGATGCGCCCATGACCCGTTGTCTTTCGAGCACAGGCCCATGAGCCCAAACTGTTGAAGCTTATGCGGCCTTTGCTGCTGCCAAAAATAACTCTGGTTCGACAAAGGATCTTAGTACCTCCAGGCGGGCACTCCTGGCACGATTGCAGACTGAAGCAGTGCTTTTAACCCTAGACCCACAAGTTTTGGTGAGACCATCCAGGGCAGATGGACACTGTGAGCCGCCGAGCTGAGCCAAGCGTTGAGTTCTGAAGGCATAGGTGGGTCGACACTTACGACACAAGGCTTGAAAAGGCCCAAATCACGCAGAACCTGCAATCTCGAAACTTGACCAAGCCCTGAACCCCTTCACCCTAAACCCTACACCCCAAACCCTAAACCGTAAACCCTAAAACCCTACAACCCTAAACCCTAAACCCTACAACCCTAAACCCTAGACGCTAACTCCAGGTCGGGACATCTGCCCAGATGGCTACTGGCAGCTCCCAGCGCCCGGCGGCGTGGGCAACTCCTGCCCACTCTGCGCCGGGCCCGGCCGGATAGGGTTTAGGGTTTAGGGTTTAGGGTTTAGGGTTTAGGGCTTAGGGCTTAGGGCTTAGGGCTTAGGGCTTAGGGCTTAGGGTGTATAGGGTTTAGGGCTTAGGGCTTAGGGCTTAGGGCTTAGGGTTTAGGGTTTAGGGTTTTTAGGGCTACCTAGAGGTTCATGGTACTTGTTAACCATGTCGAACTGTACTTATAACCCACTTAGAAGCCCCGTAAGTGCCCTAATATGGTTATAAGTACAGCTATAGTGGGTGAATAAGTACCATGAACCTCCAGGTAGGGCTCTTCAGGAGGGCTGGCAGGGTTCAGGGGGGTTATGGGGTTGAGCTTGTCCTGGGCCGCTGTTGCATTTTAGGTTTTTGGTGTGCTTGTCCGGGGCTCTTAGGGTGGGGCAGGGTCGGGAGTGGAGTCTTGCTGCCGACGCCTCGGGCTTGGTTTTCGGGTTTAGGGTTTAGGGTTTACGGTTTACGGTTTAGGGTTTGGTACTTTGCGAGTCTACGGTGTCACAGTTCTGCAGCTAGGTTAGAGGAGTAGGTCATGGCTTTGCTCATGGGCTTTTGCATTGGGTTTGTGTTGACAATGGTTTGATTCATGCGCGAAACTGTCAGGGAATGACAAGAGAGCATTGATGTCGGACCCCCCTTCGTCTTCTGAAGTGGTGAAAAATGGGGGGGTTGCGATATTAGGAATGCCTTATTGGGGGCCCTTATTATAAAAGGGTTCCTAGTAGTTGGGCTGTCTATATTCGGGGTCCCTTTATTATCGTAAACCCCCAAATAGCAGGCACGAGAATGCCCCCTCAGCCCTACTTGGCGGTTCATGGCTAGATACAAGTGGGGAATTCTAGCAGGAAAACTGTTCTTATGACTGCTTACTACCATGAGCAGCCAAAGGTTCAGAGAACTGCAGCCTCTGTACCAGCCCGACGGTGTGCCAGGACGGTGTTTCGGGTCATGGGCACAAAAACCTTCCGACTCCCCCAAGCCCAAAATCCTGCAACTCAGAATCCTAAACCCTGAGCCCTAAGCCCTAAGCCCTGAACCCTACACCCTAAACCCTAACCCCAAACCCTAAACCCGAAATCCGAATCGTACCAAATGGTTCGGCATCTGATCCTGTGTTAGGGCTGAGGGATTAAGGGCGAATTTTGGTTTCAGGTTTAGGGTTCAGGATTTTACAGTCTGGATTACCATCCTTGCTCCCTTCTTACCGGAAAAAGCATGTTCCCTCCCCAGGCTGTCAGGGAGTTGGGGCTTTCGGCGTGTGGGCGGTTTAGGGTTGAGGGTTTAGGGTTTTTTTTTGGTTGGGGTTCAGGGTGGTGGCTGCTGGCTTACGGTGACAGAGCTTCTGACTTGGGATACGCTTCTGGGCTGTAGAAGGCAGTTGTAGGAACTCCACAGGCTTCGAAAAAGGCCCAGGCTGGATAGCGTTGTGTTTCAGGCATGTGTTCGTTTCTTTGTTGATATGGGAGAGCCTCTCTACGCTTGAAGCGCCACTCGATGAAAACCCACGCCCGGCCTGAAGCCCTACGCCTTAGACCCCTGAAGTCCTCAAGCCTTGAAGCTGCGAATGCCTACTCCCTGCATCTCTAAGCCCGAGCTCCTCAGTCCCGTCGCAACCGAGTGCCTCAAGGGTTTAAGGTTTAGGGTTTAGGGTATAGGGTTTAGGGTTTAGGGTTTAGGGTTCAGGGCTTAGGGTTTAGGGTTTAGGGTTTAGGGGGGCCCATGCCCAAAGCAGCGCAGATGTCCAGGAATGCCGGAACTCCACCTACCTGTCCCACTACAACTGGTGCGAGGACGAGTGCCAAGACGGCGCAGGGCTCAGATGCCCTAAACCCTAAACCCTAAACCCTAAACCCTAAACCCTAAGCCCTAAGCCCTAAACCCTAAACCCTAAACCCTAAACCCTAAACCCTCCTGTAGGCATTCAGAATCGTGGGAGAGCCACCTAAGCCCAAGTGACTGAGGGCCTTACCGGCTTCATGCTCGGGCCCTCAAGCCCGAAGCCCTAAACTCTTGAGGGTTTAGGGTTTAGGGATTAGGGTTTAAGGATTAGGGTTTAGGGTTTAGGGTTTAGGGATTATAGGGATTAGGGTTTAAGGATTAGGGTTTAGGGTTTAGGGTTTACGGGTTAGGGTTTAGGGTTTAGGGTTTAGGGTAGAGGGAGACGTGGTAGCCCAGTGGTACCCTTTTACCCTTTTTTTTGGGGTGCAAGGTTCCCTCATGAAGTAGCCAACCCCCCCTAATCTCGGGTTGTGTTGGCTGGTCTTTTTTTTGATGCGCGCCGGCTGATGGGCCGGAAGGGCCCAAAGAAGGTTTCAGAGCGTCTCAAGCCTGGGTCTTTGGGGGTGCTTTAGGCTGTAGGGATTTGGGATTTGGGGACCCCAAGATATCCATCACGAGCGGCTTATATGTGGATTCGATACGGGGCTTGTAGAGCCGTGTAGTAAAGCTTAGGCTGCAGGGCCCAGGTAGTTTCCGGTGTTCAGCGTGACATCGCAGGGCTTGCAGTTTAAAACGTCTTTTGGTGTGAAACTGGCGTTTGGGCCGCGATGGTGGACAGACTCACAAGCGCAAGCCCTGAACTGCAAAGTCGATTTTGTCAGAGTCTCCACATGATTTTTCTTTGAAGCCCTAAAAGGCTGGAATGCTGAAGACACGTTAATGCAGATCCTCAAGGGCCTAGATCCAATCTAAAGGCAAGCCTCTGTTCGGGAGCGTAGGGCTTGGGACTTTGGAGGATCAGGGTCCCTAAGCCCTGAACCATGAACCCTAAACCCTAAACCCTAAACCCTAAACCCTAAACCCTAAACCCTAAACCCTAAACCCTAAACCCTAAACCGGGTGTACAGCTCCGGCTTGACCCTGACTTGAGTTGACGCGCGTTCTCCCTGTCTGCAGGCTACTTTGAGGAAGGCGTCAACGACTTGGGACGAGTCTGCAAGGCTCTTTGGGGGGCCATGGCGTGTAAAACTCTAAACCCTAAACCCTAAACCCTAAACCCTAACCCCCTAGGACCTTAGGACCCTAAACTCCCCAGACTCAAAGCTCTGCAAAGCCCCAAACTGCACGCTCAGCGCGTGTTGGAACTTCCAGGGTGCTGTTGAGGTTGGTGCGAGCTGGTCTTTGAGCTCAATGAAGTCAGGGTTGTTTCAGAAGGTTAGGGTTTAGGGTTTAGGGTTTAGGGTTTAGGGTTTAGGGATTAGGGTTTAGGACCTGTCTTCCCACAGTCGGGGCTTTTTTTACACTGGACGACGGGGGTCTGAACGCCTGGGTATCCAGCCCGCCTGTCGATTCATGAACAAGAACAACTGCCTCTAGGGGGACCCTCATCTAGAAGCTTCTGAGCCCTCCGCTTTCTAAGCCCAGAACCAAAACCCTGAACCCTGCTTGGAGGGTTCATGGTACTTCATAGCCCAATTACAACTGTACTGATTGCCCACTCACAAGCCCCCTAAGTTCCCTAATGTATGATTGCCAGATATACTTGTGTTAATTAGTAAGTGCCATGAACCTCCAAGTGGGGGGCTGATACAGAACCAGCCCCCTCAGCCAACTTGCTTAGGTGCTGAGTACGTAGCCTTCATACACGCCTGGGGTCTTGTCAGCCGCCTTGAAACCCGCAGGTGAACCTTCTTTTTCCGCAGGGAACTCAGGAATCCTAAGACGTGAGCCAACCAAAAAACCACACCCGAAAAACCCTGGCCTGGACCCCAAACCCTAGCCCGAAACCCTAAACCCTAAACCCTAAACCCTAAGCCCTAAGCCCTAAGCCCTAAGCCCTAAGCCCTAAGCCCTAAGCCCTGCAAACCTTTTCCGAGCCAGAAGTTGGCATCTGCAGGTTTGCCCTCCGACGTGCAACAAGTGCGAGGCAGAGGACCACTGCACGGAGTGCCTCCTGGCTCCACTTGGGGCTTTGGGGTTTAGGGTTTAGGGTTTCCGAACAAAAGGGTACCTATTTTGGGAGTGCCTCCTGGCTTTGCTTGAGAAAGGGTTTGGAGTTCAGGGGTTTGGGGTTAGAGGTTTCGAGTTTAGGGTTTGTGGCTTAGGGTTAGGGTTTAGGATTTGGGGTTTGGGGTTTATTGTTCTTGGGTTAGGGACTTCTTTTTGTTTTTTCATGGGGTTAGTGTGCTTGCGCATGCTGACTGCAGGTGAGGTTCGGACATTTTGCGTTTGCTAAACGTAGGGTAATAGGGTTTAGGGTTTAGGGTCTTGAGGGTTCTTCAATGAGCTCAAACCCTGTGATTTGCTTTGTGGCCATAAGCTCATTTCAAGCATGCGCAAGCCGCACGTGACGCCAACTAAAAGTACAGGTGCCGTGCGCAAACTATTCCTCTTTTCGCCCGAGCCATGCAGCCCTCAACGCGTAAACCGCAAACCTCTAAGCTCAGCTACATCACCCTAAACCCTAAACCCTAAACCCTAAACCCTAAACCCTAAACCCTAAACCCTAAACCCTAAACCCTAAACCCTAAACCCTAAGCCCTAAGCCCTAAACCCTAAACCCTAAACCCTAAACCCTACATGAAACCTGAAAGTGTTGCCGAGGCAAGTACTCGACCTTCCTCACGCACTACCAGGCCTGCGAGACCACCTGTCCACCAGGCCATGCGGGGTTTGAGTTTCGGCTTGGCGGTTTAGGGTTTAGGGTTTAGGGTTTAGGGTTTAGGGTTTAGGGTTTAGGGTTTAGGGTTTAGGGTTTAGGGTTTTAAGCGTGTGGAAACCCTACTTGGAGGTTCATGGGTACTTCTATCCCCGAATATAAGTCCACTTGCAATCTACTTAGAGGACTCCTATTAGAGGACTTAGGGGACTGAAGGGCCCCTATACTAACAGTCCTTAATAGGGATTATAGTACCCCCTGTTTGAAATTCCTATTAAGGACTGTGAGTATAACGGGTGAACATCCAAAGGTAGGACCTTGTGTGTGTTGATTGAGTTTCCCTTCCTGGGTCAAAGAGGAGCGTGTTGAGGAACATGGGTTTAGGGTTTAGGCTTTAGGGTTTGCGGGCTAACCCAGATCGCCCTTCGTGTGGAAGAAGGTAAATACCCGAGGCCCTATCCCCGTGAACCCTAATCCTTCAGCCCCGAAACTCCAAACCCTAGACCACACCCTAAACCCTACACCCTACACCCTAAACCCTAGACCCTAAACCCTAAACCCTAAACCCTAAACCCTAAACCCTAAACCCTAAACCCTAAACCCGAACTCTAGGGTCCCTTACAAGGTTCCCTCCATTGGTTCCTTCCATGGGGTGTTCATCGAGTTGAGAACGCACGATGTAGGGGACGTTCCCCCTTATATATCAACAGTCCTTTATGAAGGGTTTAGGGTTTAGGGTTTAGGGTTTAGGGTTTAGGGTTTAGGGTTTAGGGTTTAGGGTTTAAGTCCCAAACCGTAAGCCCCAAGCTGGAAAGCATTGAGAGCCTAAACCCTGCCAGGTTACTACCCGAACCGCACCCGCGCCGTGGGCGCGACCCTCGGAGCTCTGCGCAGCTTCGGGCTTACCTGTAGGTTGGTTTTGGGGAGATATTATATTCTTTTAAGGGTCCCAAAACATACATATGATTCAAAGGGTTTAAAGGCCAACCCAGTCACTAGGGCTTTAGGTTTTGATAACAGGAACATTTCTGCTCGAGGAGACCGTGCAGGAAGGGCTAGGAAGAGCGGTTGAAGAATGTCATCAGTACAAGCAAGGTTACTTCTGACGAGGTCCAAGGAGGCTTGGGGATCCAATAACCCTAAGCCCTGGCCTTAACGGCTTTGCGGTTGAGGTTAACAGTGTTTTTTCTGCACTTGGCGCCATAGCAGAACCGTATTCTCAGCCGACACGATGCAACAACTGCGGTGTCGCTTCATTGCTTGGGGAAATGTCCGTGACTAGAATACTTGAGCTAGCATGAAAACACAAACCTCCTTTGTAGGTATCAGAAGAGAGCACCTTAGAGGATTCGGATTCGGTGCTTAGGCATAATTCTACAAAGAAAACAAGTGCTGGGCGCTCTTGCAGTCAGCCCTCTACATTGAGCCCCTTCCAAGGTCAATGCTTGCAGTTCCGAACCCCTCTGCAAGAAGCCATGCCCCCGATCGCCCACCAAACCATGGTTGTCCCAATATTACACCATTGATGCTTTAAGATATATGATATATATATATACACACACATTCTACCTTTTTATATGTACTGTATCACAGGCTCTGTTGTATCCCCGCACCCTCCAAGAGAGAGCGTCAGGCATACGGGTCCACCTGGGCAGGAAGCACAAAACCTCATGATCCCGCGAACCTTGAGTAGTTCTAAGTGGGGTTAGAAGTAGGGTAACTCTGCTTATATCTGGTTATAACCTTATCTAGGGTACTGGTACGACCCTGTTTTTAACCTTATTTAGGGTACCTATATCCTTATTTAGGGTACTTGTAATAGCCCTCCTTATAACTGCCCATGAACCTTCAAGTAGCCCTCAACCCTAAACCCTGAACCCTAAACCCTTATAACCCCAAGTTTGGGAACTCAATTCGGAGCTTCGAAGGTGGTGTTTGCGAGACCTGTCCCGACGAGTGCAGCCAGTGCAGCACGTCGTCGACCTGCAGCGAGTGTCGCAACGGCCTGGGGGCCCAGGAAGTGTGTAGCATGTTTAGGGTTTAGGGTTTAGGGTTTAGGGTTTAGGGTTTAGGGTTCAGGTGCTGGGGGGCCAAAGTGATCCTCGGTGCTTGTTGGTTTGGGTTCAGGGTTTAGGGGTGGATTGCTGTGGGGAGCTCGTCTTGAGGACCCTCTTATGTGGATGTTTTGCTAGTACTCTACTGGTACACCCAGTGGTGCCCTCACTCCAATATTATGGGGTGAAGATCCCGTATGAACCTAATAGCAAGCCACAAAACGCGCAGTACCCTTGTCTGGGGAATCACATGCTCGGGCTTCTCATCGTTCATAGAAAAGGCGGGGCCTAAACGAGGCCCCTGGGAAACTTAGTGACTTATGCAGATTGACACCCAACTCACTGCTAGAACTTTTGGGAGGCACGGTCGCAATATGAACTCCGTAAACTGCAAACCGAAAGCCACTAAGCCTCTCTGAACTCATAGCATAGGGTTTCGAAATTGGCCGAATCTGAATTTCTGAGGGTAGTTACATGGTCTCTTTAGATTGTCCCTTACTTTTCTTACAGGGTTCTGAAGTTTGGGCCCTTGGGTTTTACAGGGTATAAAAGCGGTATATAAAGGCCCATACTGAGAGGGACCATGTAACTACCCCCGAAAAAAGTACGAAACCTCGCACCCTTCGACCACAAACCCACAACTCATGAGCAGTGCGGCCCAGGCCTCTACCTCACTCCCAGCGGCTGGTGCGAGGAGTGGATGCCTTGAAAGGGGCTTTGGCCAGTCGCTTTAGGGTTGAGAACAGTTGAGGGTTGGTTGGGGTCAGGGTTCCAAAGGGTCTAAGCATTTAACGGAAAAACGTCTGCAGTGCGTTTGATTTTTAGGTTTTGGGGTTGGGGGGGTTCCCACTTGCCTCTTTCTGTTTGGGCAGTTGGGGTGGGGGGGAGGGTCTCTTTTTGCGCCCTTCGGCAGCCAAGGTCGCAGACGCATCTTAAAGTCCACCGAGGGCTTGTCGTCCCAGGGAGTTTGCGGAGTCATTGCGGTTCGTTTCGGTTCACCCTAAACCCTAAACCCTAGACCCTACACCCTAAACCCTAAACCCTAAACCCTTGGGCTTCGTCAGGCTTTTGTTTAAAGGGTGTCGGCTTGTGAGGAGACCTGCCCCGAGGGGCACTACACTGTGGACGGCACGGGGGGTGTGGCTTGGCATGAGAAGAGGGAGAACCCTGAACCCTAAACCCTAAACCCCAAACCCTATACTCTAAACCCTAAACCCCTAAACCCCAAACCCTAAGCCCCAAACTCCAAGCACTAAACCCTAAACCCTAAGGCTTGGTTTACCCGAAGGCTCCAAGCTAGTTTCTCTTTGTGTTACTTTTAGGGGTGGTTATGGTATGCCCAGGGTTTTGGGATTAGGGTTTGCGGTCCATTTGTAGTGCTGTTTATCGAAATTTGGTTTCCGGAAAAACCCTCAACCCTAGACCCTTGATTACAAGGCTTGGGACTGCAGGGCTTCAGGATTGATGGAGAGGAAGGGGTCCGACGCTGAGGGGTTTCGGGTTTCAGCTTTTAGGTGCTCCAGGCTTCTTTCTTGGCCTCAACAAATGTCCAGGGGTTTAGGGTTGTAGTAAAGTCAGTAAATTAAAACCTTCCAGCCCGAAATCTGAACCCTGAACCTTGATCCCGCCCCCTCGTTCTGACGCAGTTGCAGAGGTGGGTGGCACTTGCCCCATGTGCCCGGAGAACTGCCAAGCCTGCAACAGCGCCGAGGACAGGAAGAGTTGCTTCGGATCTCGGGTTTAGGGCTAGGGTTTACGGCGTTTAGGGGGTTTCGGTTTAGGAGGTTTAGGAGGTTTAGGAGGTTTAGGGGGTTTAGGGGGTTTTAGGGTTTAGTGTCGTCAGGCTCTGGGTTGGTGATGCAGGCAGGAGCACGCTGAAAACAATGCAGTGGGAGGCTCCGGGGTGTCGGCTTCACCCTGCTCACCTTCAAGCTGTTCTGGCTTGAATTGAACGAACTTGCATCAAGTTTACTGTCGTTAATGTGGGGATATCCCGAAGCACTGCAACCCTGAACGATGTTGCTTCCCTGAACCCTAAACCCAAAACCCTAAACCCTATAGTTTCTTAATGATGACAAGCTCAAGCCCTGTTACCCAAGTCTCCTTGTTTTGCTAGCTTGGTGAAGGCTTCTTAACAACCAGAACCCAGAGTAGGCCTTCATTCCTTTTTAGGGCTTAGGTTCCCTTATAAGCCCCTTTAACCAAAAAAAGGGGCAACCTGTTTATCCCTAGGCTGCTCTTCGTTCTAGACACGAACCTAGGTTGCGAGGATGATATGGGGTCGGAAGAATTTCGAGTGGTATTCCCTTATGGTCCCTTTGCAGTTATACTATAGTACCCCCGAAACCATATTCTAATTATTCAGGACCCTATATTACAAGCTTTGGCTTTTTGTTCCAGCAGCTTATGTCCTGGGCTCTTAGTCGTTCATGGCTTAGGTGTTAGGGAGGGAATGTGGTTTCCACAGTACTTGGCAGAAGCCCAGGGCGTTACCTCTGTAGGTCCCACTTAGGGCCCCAAGTCCTAGCTAGATCAAGCTGGAGCCATAAGGCCTTCAGGCCTAAAAACATGTGTCGGCACAGTGCTCCGGCCTGGTCGCCTATATAAAGGCTATAAAGGCCTTGTCACCTACTTTATGTTGTAAAGGGTCACCCTACGACCCCCCCCCCCCCCCCCCCCCCCCCCACCACCACTTATGGTTCTTAGGGCCTGCGATGGAGATGATGTGACAGCCGAATATAGACCGTGGGATGTAAGGCTTCTGCTTAGGGTTTAGCCGCTTAGCCCACAGTCTTTATGATGGGTAGGGTATGGTGGTATGGTCCTGTGAGCTCCTTAAACCATTTGCCACATGTGCTGGAAGGATACTTCGATGTTCCGACATTGCCACGGGGTCTAACATAACCCTAAACCCTATACCCCAAACCCTAAACCCTAAACATTAAAGTCTTTGGCTATTTCCTAGCAGCTCACCACGAGAAGCCTCTGGGCTCAGGGAAGTCTAGCCCGTGGACCCCCCGCAACCTTGACTGTGTGAATCATCTGCACCAATGCAAGTCCACAGGGTTTAGGGTTTAGGGTTTAGGGTTTGGGGTTTAGGGTTTAGGGTTCAGGGTTCAGGGTTCAGGGTTTAGGGTTTAGGGTTTAGGGTTTAGGGCGTAGACTCCAATCTCACACTGGCGAGGAGTGCACAGTCTGCCGGGGCTTCACGCATCTCACGGAGTACAGCCAGTGCCGCTCAGAATGTCCCAGCGGATGCTCGGCGCGACGTACAGCCGAACAGGTGGTCTTGCTTGACACCCTAAGGATCCATGTACCTGTATAGTATATACTTGGGCCCTACAGCTACTATGTAGGAACCCCTTTAAGGCCCAAGTATATCCTACATAGGTACATGGATCCTTAGGGACAGTGATGTAGTAGGCTGTAGGTTTGTGTAGGGTTTGGGCCTAGACCCAGAACCCCTGAACCCTTAACTCTAGCCCCTGATCACGGGCCACGCGAAATGCAATATCTGCTGCGCCTAACCGAATCGCTTTAGAGGCAGACGTGCGGCATCCTGTTTAGAACAGCGTCAAGAGCAGCATCCACCGGTTCGATTACGAACCCTAGACCCTAAACCCTAAACCCTATGCAGCTTACGCCAGAAACCCTGACAGCCTTCGTCGAGAACAAGGAGCACCGAATCAGTTCACGAACTGACAGACATGCCTGCAACCAGACCCACACATATGCCCTAAGGCTCCATGTACCCTTATAGTAGATACTTAGGCCTTAAGGTACCCTTATAGGAACCCGTTTAAGGCCTAGGTATCTACTACATGGGTACATGGAGCCTTCGGGATGTGGATCCATGCCAGGTTGTCCGTGAACTGCATGACTGGAGTTTATGAGGTTAGGGGTAGGTAGGGTCTATGTCATTACTGTTCTTGGCGAGTGTAGATATGGTTCTTTGCCTTGGTGTGAGTGCATATTGGGCGTCCTCTTGCTCGTAATATGCCTACCCCCCACATGGACTCGTTCAGGACATGAAAGACCGGGCAGGCCGCACGAGAGCAGTTAAAACAGGAGGCGAAGGGGCTGGCTAAGCAGACTCGAACCCTAAACCCTAAACCCTAAAACTCATCCGGCCCGAAGCCCTAAACCCTAAACCCGAAGCTCCAAAAGCCCTCGACTCCATGCTCTGAAGTCTTTGTCTTTGAGGGTTTAGGGTTTAGGGTTTAGGGTTTAGGGTTTAGGGTTTAGGGGGTGTTTCAGGGTCTACGGAACTACACCCAGGATACTACGAGAACGGCACCGACAGCGTTGGCGGCAACTGCAACCGGCGTCTGGCCCGCATCCTTGTTATTTTGAGATGGTACCTCTGTGATGCTTTACTGTAACTTTAGATCCTTGGGTTTCTTAACAAGGCAGGTAAAAATTAAATTTATAGCTACCCTGCTAAGTGCAGCCAAGGCCTGTAGGTTTGAGGCTTTAGGTTAGATCTTGTTTGCTTTTGGGTTTCTTATCTGCTTGTTATACGAAGCTTAGCAACCCCAAAAAGGCACCACAATTGGCGGTGCCCTAAACACCAAAAGAGAAACAGGTGTCCTCGGCCGTGCAATCTCTGCGAGACCGCCAGCGTGTGCACGGAGTGTGCGGAGGCCTCCTACCTCACCCCCTCAGGCGCGAAAGGGATTGGGGTTTAGGGTTTGGGGTTTAGGGTTTGGGGTTTGGGGTTTGGGGTTTAAGGTTTAGGGTTTAGGGCGGAATTGGGTTTAGAGTTTAGTGTTTGGGCTTTGAGGCTGTTGGGCTCAGAGATCGTGCTTTTGGCTCGTTGGATGTAGTGGGTATTATTGGGGGGGGCAGGGATGTAGCAGCTCATTGGGTTTTGGAATGTTCGAGAGGGCATTTGGGGTTGTAGGGTTTGAATGCTCAATCCCGAAACCCTAGATCCTAAACTTTGCACGAGCTGCTAGAGTTTATAGGGTTTTGGGTTTCAGGTATGGGGGCCTTGGCAGTTTGACTGACTTGGGGCAGTGTAGGTCGAAAATGCTTCAGGTCTAGGACGGGCTTGTCGAGTGCTCAGGGTTTGGGGTGTCGTTTGACTTTGGGCCAGTAGTATTCCTGAGGTGGCAATGCTAACTTAGTCTGCATCTTTAGGGGGTTTAGGGTTTAGGGTTTAGGGTTCAGGGTTTAGGGTTTAGGGTTTAGGGTTTACCCGGAACTCTAGGCTCTAAGCCCTAATCAAATCTTTACGTCCCACACCCAAAACCGCAGGCCTCTTTAGGTCCTGAACCCCTCAACCATAAGCCTCTTTAAGTCCTAGACCCTAAACCATAAGCCTGCTTATTTGTTGCTTGAACTTTTCTGCCCGGTGTTTTCAAAGGCTATGGACAGGAAGGATCGGACTGATCCCAACGAACCCCTCGAGCTCCGAAGCTTTGAAGCCCTAAGCCCTGAAAGCCAAATAATTCTGTTTGGGGCAGAGGGGTGGGAGGCGGGGCAGTTCACCCTGAGCGTGATTCTGTTTCTCTCGGTCAGGCTCCTGCGAACACAAATGCCCCGACCGCTATCATTTCGAGGGCACAGAGGCAGCTTGGGGGGAGGGACCGAGTTTAGGATTTAGGGTTTCGGGTTCAAGGTTTAGGGTTTAGGGTTTAGGGTTTAAAGCGTTTCGGGTTTAGGACTTGTAAGTTTAGGGTTTAGGGTTTAGGCTAGACACTCCTAGGGCCCTTCAACCCTAAACCTCCTAACCCCTAACCCCCCCCCCCCCCCCCCTCCCACGCTTTTTCTCCGCCAAGGCCTAGACCCAACTGAATCACCCAAACCCCCGAAGTCCTAAACACTAAACCCAAAACCCTAAACCCCTACCTTCCTTTGAGACCACGTCTTGCAGCTTAGGGTTTAGGCTTAAGGTTTAGGGTTTGGGGTGTAGGATACCCTAACCCCCCACCCAGCACTGCATTTGGTGGGTCTTCCAGGTTCTAGCACTTAAGATGGCATGGTTAACTCGGAACAGGATAAAGATAGTAGTTTGCTGGGGTCATAGGGTCCTTGTTTCGGAGATGGGAGGGGGGGGTAGTCTTTGTTATCATGGGCAGGTAAGACCGTCATAGTCGTGTGGTTGCATATTCCTACCTGAGCAGGTGAAGGTACTGATCTTATCCCCTACTCACGACTACTCATGAACGAGGACACCACGCCAGACCCTGAACCCTAACGCGGAATCCTCAGAAGACTCAAATGAAGCATGACACTAAGTTCTCAAGTCTCCGGCCCCAATATGTGATCTTTGCAAGCTCCCGGACCCTAAACCCTAAACCCTAAACCCAGGATATCGGGCGTTTCTGCAAATCCTGTCCGCCGACTTGCTTCAACTGCCACAGCCGCCGGGCTTGACATGCTTGGGAAGTACAGCTTTGAGTTTCGGCCAGTTGTGAACTTTTCTTGGAAAAACACCCTCTTTTTTGCATTCTGCGAAGCCAGGTTTGGGTTGACTTTTTTTTTT